TTTAATTTCCCGAATGCTCTTGGGGCGCTGCTAATCCTGTGTTGAATTTCAGAGTCGATAGTTGCCTTTTCCGCAATCAAACTTCCGAAGTAATTGAATTCGGCTACATATTCCAATAGTTCTTCTTCGATTTTTATAGCATTGTTGTGATCTTCCGGGGAGTGCACCTGATTTTGGTTTTGTCGATGTTTACCTTAGGGCCCAAAGCCTCGTATGCCCAGGTATATGTGTTCAACATTTCTTGTAATTCTTGTAACGTTTTTGCAACTAGAGCGCAGTCATCAACGTATTGAAGTTCTATGGTGAATTTTGAGAGAAAACATGAAATATTTTGAAACAAAATTCATAGAGGGACAAACTTTTAGGCTAATGAATGAATTGACGCTAATGAATGATTTAAGCTAATAGAAGATTATTTTCTTTTATCTATGGATTTAAGCTTTATGTTGAGAGATAGGAATTAATTTTACCTCTAGACAATATTTTAATGTATGTAGTGTGTATATTATTTGATAGTAGTTTCCAAAGTAAACTTACATTAACAACAACGAATTCATCCTAATTAACAAACTATTTAAAGGCTGCCAACAGGCTCTTTATATCGCAATAGTTGGATCAACATTGTTCTTGTACTATGCTTTGGGTCAAAAGGGCGGTTGCACGCTCTACATCACAGAAATAAATGGGCATTAGCCACTATTTGTCCGGCTTTGTGTGCCCCACTACGGTCTAGGGACGATTTGTACAGAGTGTCCCAAATTTGAGCGTGGCCATTGGGATCTCGGAAAGTATAAGCGACACTGTGAGCGACACGACGGAAGTTAAATTAAGGCAAAGTTTGTCAATTTTATGTCCAATAAAATAATATTTTAGAAATTGATTGAAAATAATTGATAATAGGTCATAGTCTGATTGAGGCCCGTACTGCTGCGCAAGACAAAACAATATGAAAGGACACAGTAAATGCGATTTGATAAAAACGCCATATTCTCATAGAGTATTAGGAGGAGGATATGTTTCTTCAGAATAAACATAAAAAATACACTCAATTGCTAAAAAACATAACGGAGAAATTTTTTGTCAAATTTAAAATGTTATATTTTTGTTATTTTTAACCCTATTTTCATGAGTTTTGCTGTATATTATATCAATTTTAATTCGGAAACGCAGTTTTTATAAACTGTATTATTTGGTATATTATACAGGGTTAATTGAGGGGTTGTTTTTTGGTGAATAATTTCGTCTGTAAATTTTCCTGCAATATAATTTTGCGGTCAGAACCATGACTCTTGAGCATTTTGTTTTTTGATTCATGTCAATACATAGAGCGAAATGAACTGAGAACGATCAATTTGCAATTTTTTTAGTTATCAATACTTTTGATGTAATTTTTTAATATGACGAGATGATTTTGGTGACTATTGTCGTAACGTCATATCACACTGCATTGGATACTCTATAGAAAATTTTAAAAAAATGTTAAAGACTAACGATACAGTTTGGGTTTTACTAAACATTAATAACGATAACAACTAACGATATTAAAGAAAACATCTGTAATACTCAAGTATATAGAAATAAAATGTAAAAAATATCCTAATACTTTGTATTACTGCCCTTGGCTGCTATAACTGCATGTATACGTCCGTTTATACTGTCATTTAGGCTGCATATATCATATTGCGTTATGTTTTCCCATTCTTCTTTAAGGACCCAGCGAAGTTCATTTAATGAAGCTGGTACTGCCTCGCGAACCCTAACCCTCCTGCCAAACATTTGCCAAACGTCGAACATGATGGGCTGTTCATAGTAGTATATGATATTTGATAGGGAAATTGTTAATGTAAATTTATTAAGAAGAAAAACCTAGGATAAGCGCGCTAAACCTAGGATTTACCAAAAACAAGTGGTAAAAGCTCGAAAACTTCTTTATTTTGCTTCCATTTCGGACTTTTACCGGACCCAAACAGTAAATCTTAGGATTTACCACACCGCATTGGTAAAAGTACGAATTATTTTTCTTATAGCAACAATATTGACAAATTAAGAATGTCGATATACAAAGACATCTCTGTTTTTGTTTACTTAGGCATGGAAACTTTAACGATTATCGTTTCACGATATCGATTTTTGTAACGTATCAGTCTTATATTTGTTACTGTAAATGTCCGAAATGCGGTAAAACCTAGGATAAGCGCGCTAAACCTAGGATTTACCAATAGCATTAACTAATTAGGTTAGCCTGGTTATTTGGTGGGTATTAATGCATTGGTTAGCCTGGTTATTTGGGGGTGTTAATGCATTGGTTAGGTGGTTCTTTGGTGGGGTTGGTTGGTTTTTACTACCACTTGCTTATTCGTACTTTTACCAATGCGGTGTGGTGAATTCTAAGATTTACAGTTTGGGTCCGGCAAAAGTCCGAAATGGAAGCAAAATAAATAGTTTTTGGGCTTTTACCACATACTTTTGGTAAATCCTAGGTTTTACCGCATTTCGGACATTTACAGTAACATATACATTCTCGAGCTGATTTAAAACCTGACCGACCATTCTTATGAAACTAGAATTCGACAAACCAAACAAATCAGATTACCAGTGAGTACCAATAACCTTAATTTAAGGTATGTTACTTATTTTGGGCCTAAACTATATAATTTGTTGCCATTGGAGGTGAGAAATTGTGTGAAACTGAAACAATTTAAATTATTACGCAAAAATATAATATATGGAAACTATAATCAATTTGAAAGGTATTTTATCTAACTGTAGTATATTATTTTTGTAAATCACTTCATTTAAGTATATTTAATGATTATATATCTTAAGTTATGCTTAAGTTATTGTTTTTTGGACAGCTTATTCTGCTAGCACTTGTTTTACCACTTATTTTGATTATATAATGAAATATCCTTTAAAATAAATATAAATAAGTTTTACGTAGGTACTTACCTACCTTAAAATACATACAGATGTTACACATCTAGGTTCTTTATCTTATAGATAATATTTAGAAAATATCAAGTAGTATATTATAGCTTTATTCAACTGTACAACAATAAAATAAATAAATTTATGAATAAATAAATAAAAATAAATTGATTAATATAGGTATTTTTTTATATTTTTATCTCGTAAAAAAAATGAAAAAAATAAATATATATACAGGGTGGTCCGAACTGTATTCCGGAAACTTCGGCAGCATATTCTGCAAATAAAAATAAGTAAAAAAGTTCGTATTAAATAATTTCTGAAGTAATGTCAATATTTGGATGAAAATTGATGTCTGGAAGTTTTTTGACATGAGAAATTTGATTTTGGTGTCAATATGACTCCTACTAGTAGAGGGCGCCACCTACATGTGTTTTAGCTGTTTTGAAGCGTAATGGAAATAGACAATACATATTATGTCATTATTGACGAAAAATCAACACGTTGAGTAGATGATAGTTATTTCACTGAAATAATAAATTTAGGATTTTTTTATTTTTTTTAAATTAATTATAATTTTTTCTGCAAAAAATGATGATAAAACAGTTTCTGTTGAACTTTTGGCACAAAAACATTTCAAATTTATGATTTCAGTCTAATAACTATTAATTTAGTCAACCATGTTTAATTATGTCAATGATGACAGGTATTGATAATTTCGATTCCAAATATCTCGAAAACCATTACTCGTAGCGGTTTTTACCAAGAGACCTTTTTCACGTAAAAAACGTCGTGAATTTGTATTTTTTTACTCAGTAGTTTTATACAGGCACGTACGAAAAGTTATTACTCTTCAAACCAGTTAAAAAATATGTAGGTAGCGCCCTTTACCAGTAGGAGTCATATTGACATCAAAATCAAATTTCTCATGTCAAAAAACTCCCAGACACCAATTTTCATCCAAATATTGACGTTACTTCAGAAATTATTTGGAAAAAATCGAAATAAAAATGAAATTTCTACACTCTGTATCTTCGAAACTAAGCCTTTTAGGACATACATTTATACGAACTTTTTTACTTATTTTTATCTGCAGAATATGCTGCCGAAGTTTCCGGAATGCGGTTCGGACCACCCTGTATAGTTCACAATAATCACCAGAGCCACCTTGTCACGTTGAAAAATAACTTCAAAAAGAAACGATAATTGAAAAAATTGCAAATTGTTGGCGGCAAGCTCATTAAAAATTAATCAAGGCATGTATTGACATGATCCAAAGAACAAAATACTCAGGAGACATGCTTCTCAACGTAAAATTATATTTTAGGAAAATTTACGAACGAAATTATTGCACAGGGTGTTTTTTGCATCTGAGTGTATTTTGGATAGTCTATATTTCATACTTTTTCAAGTTTGTACGGTGCGGTTTTATAAATGTAAAGTATGTATGTAAATATATGTAATAATATATGTATAATAAATATATGTATGTATATATGTAAAATGTAATACGTGCGGTTTACAAATGTAAAGATAAAGCGCATTAGAGAACTTACAAATCTTAATTTCAATGTTATTCTTTGGATTATGGAAGGCAGTCTAATCTGCAAACAAAAGTTGTAATTTATTGCGGGAATTCCTATTATATCGATTAAATTATTTAAATTGAAGTAAAATCGGAGGATTAACGTTCGTAAGTCCTTAAGTTATTTCGTCGTCTGATGTTATAAATAAAATTAAAAATTATAATTCTTATCGTCTTTTGCTTTGATTAATATCTCTGATCATACAATCAGATTGTAAATTTAAGGGATTGCTAATTATACAATTATACATTCTTGTAATTGCTGTAACGTTTTTGAAGCTAGAGCGCAGTCATCAGGGTATTGAAGTTTTATGATGCATTTTAGTATGTATTATTTATATGTATTTTGCAGCTTTTTCATCTGATTGGCATAACCTGCAAATAACGTTGTAATGCAATTAAGTCTATTCCATCCTTGCTACAGGCCACTACAACATTTACAAAACAAAATAATTGAAAAGTAAAAAAAACACAAAGATTAGCTAAAATGGAAAATGTGCAATTCTTCAATAAATTTATGGCATTGATATTTATGAAAAATACTAATATCCATGTTTTTTCTTCAGGTTATCCCTCTGAGCTGTTCTACAGAGGCAGCGCCATGTGGGAGACGCTCTACGGGATGGTACTGGCCTACCCTATAGTATGCTACGTGTTTGTACCGGTCTACTTCAGCTTGGGTATCACTTCAGTATATCAGTACCTGGACATGAGGTTCAAATCTCGACTGGTACGATGTCTGGCTTCCGGAACCTACGTTGTGAGGCAGTTGCTCAATCAAGGCGTTACAGTGTTCACTCCTTGTGTCGCTTTGAATACCGTGATTGGTATACCGTACTGGGCATCAATATCTGGTATCACTTTAGCCAGTATTATATTTAATCTGTTGGTAAGTATACTAATAATATAATATAATGTTTTTCTGGGCACTACAATAGTATATCTTTTTAATAGAAAAACACCACCGGGAGGTATTTCCTTCTAGGAATAAGAATGCCAAAAAACTTAATTTTTTTTTAATTTTTTTTAATTTTTTAATTTTCTTTTTACAATGACAAAATATTTCTACGAAAAAAGTCGTTTAGTTGGTTTGGAAACGACGATTATTGACATTTACAATAATATTTTACATATGAAATAACAGCGAGCTTCATTTCCAAACTAACTCTGACACCCTTCTTTGTTTAATAGTATAATATTATATTAAACTGTTTAATGATAGACAATCCGGATTATTAACGTACTGTACCACCACCCCCTCCACTTAAGACCATTCAACATGATATGCGCAAGGTAAATATGGCGGCGAAGGCAGTGCATTTTTAAATTGTTTGTTTAGTTCTTAGTGTTCAGTGCATGGTGTGATCAGAAAATTGTGATAAAATAAGAGTGTAATAAAAATCCAAACCAGACATTCTACATAGGGAACTTCAAACTTTTGTGCTTGTCGTACTCCTGTATTATTAATTATTTTAAGGTAAGAACTAGAAGTGTTTATCAAGATATTACACCTAAATGAGTAAAAAGCCTTCACCGCCAGTCTGCATAGTACTTTATAATGGTTACTTACAATAATCAAAAGATAGGTATTAAAGGGTTAACATTTTATTGTAGCATGCCTTTTACATGCTTGTTGTTGTCACGGGAATTATAGAGGGGGTCCCAAGGTTTCTGCTTTTATATTCCCCAAAAATGACGAGCTTCGTAAAAAATGGTTGACAGCTATTAAAAGAGATAATTTCACTCCTACTAGTAGTTCTCGGGAAGAAGTGCATTAAATATGCCTCAAAAAGGCCAAAGGCCAAAACCTCTGTTACCCTAGTGAGGATGTAGTTATGGCTACTGCTTACACTTACCTCACTATAAGTAAAATATTGGAAGAAGAATCAAGCTTTTTACATCAAAAAGATCACAGAAAGATATTGACACCATTGACATTTGAAAATATAAATGGCCTGGATGTAAGTTTTTTTTAGGTCACAATTGCCCCTCACATACGTCAGAATTTATTATTAAATCCATCTTGTTCAGAATATCCAATATTTTATTAAAGAACTATGCAAAGAAATGGAATGAAGTCTTTACCCCAAAGAGAATGCCCTATGTTAAGGGAAAGAGTAAATAAAACTAAGCTAAGCGTAAGTTTTACTTACGAACCCCCAAAAAGGTATTTAGTTTTTTTTTTCTAAAATCTTGAAACACATATTATATTTTTTAGTTATCCTCACCTATTATAGTTTAAAGTTATTCCCATTTGTGTAATGCTGCAAAACATATAATGCTAAACATAAAAATATTCCATATTTTTTAATCCAAGCCAGTGTATTTTAGAATTCCAAGAGCATTTACCAAAGATTTTACTAAACCAAGTATATATTTATCAAACGTTCAGTAAATTCTAAACTATGGTAGGTAAGTGTTTGCATTTGAATATTTAGTTTATATTGCTATTTTCTGTCATATATTTCTGGTTATTTCTTTTTCCGATGATTTTCAACACCCTATATATGCTACCTCAAGTTTGAATATGTTAACACTACCTTTTTATAAAAAGTAACTAACTGATGTTTTCATAAAAGTAATAATACAAAAAATTCCATATTTATGTGGAGAACTTTAGACTCCATGTATATTAAAAAATTAGTGAAATATTACGTTATCTAACCCGACATTTGTGTGAAAAATGTCTATTTGGAAGTAAAACAGGGTTTAAAATACGCCCCAAATAAAGCACTTCTATCTCCGCCATATTGGACAAGGTTGAATGGCCTTAAGTGGAAGGGATGGTGACTGTACCCAAAATCCGTAAATCTAATCTGATTAATTAGTACTTCTGGCAACACTGTCTCCGGCAACCACTTCTCTGTCCCTTGTGTCTAGAGAAACCAATTCTACTTTGGCTTCCGAGCTTCTGCACATGCGCAGAGATTTATTTTATTTACTGCTAACCAACCCGCCAAATAACTAAACCAATCCAACCAAAAAGAGTGAAACCAATGCAATCAAATCACGCTATAAGCATAAAAAATATAAAAAAGTTTTGGTTCGGCGTGAGATTTGAACCACGGACCATTCGCTTACGAAGCAATGGCCTCAGTCACGGAGCCACAGGTGCTCTTGCGACACTGCCGATACCCAGGCTTTCCGCCGTAGTTGTTTAAGTACGCAGATCAACTTATAGGCACAAATTTCTCTGTCTGTCGACTGAAAGCAGAACCTGCAGAACTGCGATACAGTATTCTTTATCCGCTGCGCTGTAAACGCCCATCAGCGCGCAGCGCAGCGGCACAATAATGCCAGCTACATCTCGGACAGGTTTTGTGCCACGAAATCGCCCATAAGGCTGCGCATCTTCTTATTTCTTCAATCAACGGTAATACCTTCAAAAGTTTTATGATCAAGTGTACTTTGTAACTTGGCAAATAAACAATAACTTTTATTTCAAAGTTCTAGCATACGTACTCATACATATTCTTTATCGTAAAGTATAGGTATCTAAAAATTATATTTACTTGCTTTATGTAGATGTTACTCATACATTTCTATAGTTTTATTGATTGTACCGTTAATATCGCTAAAGCTCCTAATTTATGATAAAACTATAAAATAAACTTATTTAATTATATTCAAATTATATTTCATCTAGTTAATATGTAATAATAAAATCTAGTTATAACTAGTTAACTACGTCATCCGATTTAAAGTTTAAATGTCAATAAACTTATAATAAAATGTAAAACATAAAATTCCTTAACACGTGTCTTCATAATTAAAGATTTTAATCTTTGACAAACGTTTCTAAGCTTTTTATACGTAAAAAACTGCTAAAATATTTGATATTTGCTTTTTATTTAATTAATTAATATTGACTATGGCCAAAAAACGTAATTATTTTTTATCTTTACCTGTATCTTCTCGCTAACGAGATAGTCTTTGTTCCTTTATTAATAGAAAAATCAAAAATTAATATTAAATTCATTCCACGACCTTGAGGAAAGTACACAATAGCTTTAGATGTAATCTATACGTGATTTCATCTAATAATATATCTAATTAGTCAAAGTATTATTAATCCTGTATAACTTAAGCTATTTTTAAAACATAATCAATTAATCGATTTAGACATTGTATTAAGTAAGGTATCTGTCGGTATATCTGGGGTTTTCTATGTGAGATAAGATATTTTATGCGATATTTGATATTATTTTAGAAATATATCATCATCATTTTCAGATTATTCAACCATCTCCAATTATTGTGTGGTGTAGCCTCCCTCTCATATTTAGATACTTTGTAATAGGGCCCATTATTGTCAATTGTTGGCTATTTCCTAATATTAATAAGCCTAAGCTAATTTCCTAATATCATGGTCCTATCTCAGGTTTGGCCTTCTTCTAGGTCTCTTAGTTCCTCGTGGGACTACTATGCTGTAGTTTTCGTGGTTCATCTGTTGTCCATCCTTCTTGCCAGGTCTCTATTGCTTAGCCGTCCTGTCCATTGCCACTTGAAGGATTTGATTCTGTGGACGACTTTTGTCGTATCCACTCTATTCTTTTATGGGCTCTCTTGGTTATTTCCCGCATATTTCGTTCCATTGAGCATTGTGCCACATGCAATTTCCTTATAATGTTTATTTTGACTGGTAGTAAACATTGTTCGAATGTTTCCTTTTTTAGATAAAGTGGCATTTTAGATTTGAATATGTTTGAGTTTTTTCCATAAATACTCAATGCTAACTTAATAATTCTGTTGAGTTCTGGTAGTAGAGACCCCGAGCTGTGTATTAGTTGTCTCAAATATTTCTTCTACTATTCCTAGTATTGTATTATTTATTAGAAAGTATTTTCTGTCTAATAATATGTTATACATTACTTTAGTTTTTGTTAAATTCATTTTGTGACCTACTTTTTTGTTGGCTGTATTTAGTTCGTTAATTTGTATTTGTACTTCTTCAGGCTATTAGGATAAATATATTATCAGCGAATCTTAGATGGTTAAGATATTGAGATGGTTAAAATGGTTAGGATATTAGTTCTTTTTTTCGAGGAGAGAAAAACCCTTTTAAAGACATCTATCGGATGTTCATGGCATATAGTGTGGGATTTCCACCCACTAAAAAACCTCATCCTATTCCTCACTACATATTGGAACTTCCGGTAAGTATTACTTCAGGGTGCAGCTCTGTCTTCTGTTTAATCCTTCTGTCTTCTCTTCAGGTCTGCCTCTTTTGTTTCTAATATCTTTTTTTGCCATATCGGATTAACATAATGTTCGGATCTAATTTCAGTCCCACTTCGTACTCCAGTTTCCTTCGCTCTCTTATCCAACGGGGACACGAGAAGAAAGTATGCTCTACATCATCTTGTGTGTTTTCGCAATAGTAACCGCTTGGTGATTCTCCTATTTTAAACCTATAGTGGTATGACTTGAAACAGCCATGGCCGCTTATCAGTTGTGTTAAGAAGAAATTCATGTTTCCGTGTTTTCTATTAACCCAAGGTCGTATATCTGGGATCAGTCTTCTTGTCCAAGTTCCAACACTACTCGGTTCCATCCATCTTTCTTGCCAAAAATCTAGGGTGCAATGTTTTTCTAATATTTTTACTGTTCGCTCAGCTTTATATGTGCGACTGCCCTGCCTGTAGATCTATGGGTACCACGCCTGCAATCACAAGTAGACTCTCTGTAGACACCGTACGAAATGTACAACATATTCTTATAGCCAGCTTCCTTTGTATTTTCTTAAACAAATTTTTGTATTTGTTTACGAAATCTCGATTTTTACCTCTAGGACTTCATACAATATTGGTGCTGCGTGTAACATAATTGAATGTATTACCGCACTTAACATTTGTCGTTTCACTGACGATGGTCCATTTAGATTCGGCATTAACCAACTTAAAGCCTTCGCAGATTTTTCAGCTTTTACGCATGTGTTGATTATGTGTTTCTTCATAAAAGCCCCTTGATCAATGAACACCCCCAGGTATTTTATTTCCGGCTTTGTAAATATTTCGGTTTCAAGGACGTTAATGGAGATCTGACGCATTACTTTTTTATTAGACAATATCACGGCCTCTATTTTTTCTGGTGCTATTTTAGTTTTAAGTTCTTCATACATTCTAAAATCCTATCAGTGGCGTAGCTACCTAGGGGCTAGGCGGGGCAGTGCCCCGGAGCCCTCAAGCTCAGGGGGCCCTCGAATCCTTACCAAAAATCTCGATCGAACTGAACTTTTGGAAATTTCTCCAATTTTCAAAATAGATATGATAGGTTGCAACCCCACTTTCATGACAACTCAGTTGAGAGAAATTTAAAAGTTATGCCTAGGGAATTCCCCTAAATTCTTTCTGTAGGTTGGCAGTGTTGTAAATTTGACGGATAGTGATATGTGCGTTTTATTATTCATTTATATGCGTTTTATTGTGAATTCGAGTTAAGATTTTTTTTGAGAACGGTTGCAAAGCCAGTGAAACTGCAAAAAAATATGGTATTGATACCCATTTTCAAGAAAAAAGGCAAAGAAAAGTTAAAAAACATTTTGATGAATTAGCTGCTGATCACTGATTTCCAAACCGAAAAAAAATATTTAAAATTGAGATTTTCAATAATGTACTAGACACAGTAATATCTCAATTAGATACACGTTTTATTGGTATGAGTGCAGTCTGTCATATATTCGATTTTCTAAAACCAACATTTTTATTACATCTTGATGAAGCAATTTTATTACAAAAGTGTGACGAATTCCAAAGAAAATATTCAGATATAATAGGCCCTAGCTTTTCACTTCAATTTACTAATATTTACCACCTAGTTTTACCTCAACTAACTCAAGCATGGACTATTCACCAATTACGTAAGGAAATAATGAGCAAATATGGAGTGCTGGAATGCGACCTAACTGAAATATTTACAGCAATGTTATTATTCTTTACAATTCCTGTCACTTCTGCAGCAGCTGAAAGGTCATTTAGCAAATTAAAAATAATAAAAAATTATTTAAGAACATTATTTATCGCTAATAGCAATTGAAAACAAAACCGCATCAAGCCTGGATTTAAACGAAGTCATTGATACTTTTGTGAAAACTAAAGCTAGGAAAAAATTCTAAATATAATTGTTATTTAGTCAGTTGGTAGGCCCGACCTTTATATAACAAACCCTTGAATCTTCTCTATATTTCGTTTTATTAGCCAAACCTACACCAAGTATTAATTGTAATTTATGTTGTTACTGTTTAATATTATTATTACATGCCCTATGCAGTGTACAAAAAAGAGCTTAAGTAGCTTAGCAATTTGTAAAAAGTATTCGTATATTTCATATTTTTATTTGATAAAACCTAATCAGTTTACATACCAGTGGGGCCCCATTTTTTGATTTGCCCCAGGGCCCTTGGTTACCTAGCTACGCCACTGAATCCTATGTATAGCAGTATTTGCTGTCGTTACTAGAACTGCCTCTGAGTCTGCGTTTACCACAATTGCCAAATCGTCAGCATAGCCAACAAGTAATACATTCGGTGGTATCTCTAATCAAAGCACCTCGTCATAATAGATGTTCCATAACAATGATCCGAGGACAGAGCCTTGCGGTACTCCACACAATATATCCATTCCGTTATTTTGACATATATGCAGTTCCCTCTCAGTGAAGTAGCTAGTTATCATTCGGATTAGATACGGTGAAATGTTCTTTTTTTAAGAGCTTTTACAATGCTTTCCCATGGCGCCGAATTAAATGCATTTTTAACATCTATAGTTACAAGAAGACATTGTTTTCTATTTTGGAATGCAAAAGCCTTTGCTCTTTTGGCTTCTTGTAACACACTCGCTATAGCGTCAATTGTCGAAGATCCTTTTGTAAACCCATACTGTGTCTTAGCTAGTCCCCCTTTTTGGTTTAGCTCCTCATTTATGCGATCTTTTAATAAATGCTCTTATAGTTTTCCCATGCAGTCAAGTAGGATATTAGATGCATGGATTATTGTGCATTTTATTAGATTGTTAAGATATTATTAGAGTTTTATCGAGATAAATAGTAAATTGACATATTATTCTAATCTACGAAGATCTTTTATAAAAAAATAAAACGAACTAAAGTCAGGATATGTAAAAATAAGAAACTCTTTATTTTAGATATAGCTAAACTTGCAAACTTAACCAATTCAAACTTGCCCAGATTAGACGGCTATCGAAAGGAAAAAATCTCCAAACATTTCCGTGACGATACAAGCTTAACCTTCCTTTATCCACTAGAAATTTTCATAAACTTTTTCTATTTTCTCCGGTACGTGCTAGTGCAGAGCACTGGAATTGTTAATGCTAAAGAAGATTTTAACTTTTTTATCGAGATTGGATAAAGTTAACGGTGAGCGAAGCAGTTTGAAGTTTTATCGCTGTCTGTGAAGCTAGCTATCGTTATTATTGTCTTTACGTCAGCGCAGCAGGATAATAGAATACGTCATAGATCTTTGTCAATTTCTTTCGAGACATTTGTACGTGGATTTTCTGATAAAAGTTCACTTTTAGAATTACTAACTAAAACGTGTAGTAATAAATACAGGGTTGTTCGCCATAAACGACACGGAGTACTGTAGCAAAACGATTAGATTTTTGCAAATTGTAAGTTTTGGGTTCGTTGAAGGATTATTAGAGCTACAATTTAAAAATATTTTTACAAGATACAGAGTGTCCCAAATAAATCAAAAATATCAAAGTTGTATTTTTTTTTAAATGGAACACCCTGTATATTATTACATTTTTAGTTTCTACGACTATAATAAAGGTAAATTTGATTTAGGTTTACCGCATTTCAATCTTACCGTTTTTGAAATATTTAGGTTTTTGTCAAAATACAGTAATATTTTTAATGCTTCATTTCTCTAGGCGCATTTAAATTTTTAACCTATCCAATTTAACCGATCCCATTTAAATTAAACAAGTTATTGCCGTTTAAAGCGAGAAATTATTATTACACTCTGTATGAGGTAGTATTATTTTTAGTATTGCAACACAATAACTGATCAATAATTAAACTTCAGTAAATAATTAAACTTCAGTAAATATTTATATATACTTTAGTAAATTTTTACTGCAATATCACAAAATTGAAAATATTTCAAAAACGGTAAAGTTTGAGTGCGTAAACCTTAATCAAATTTAACTTTATTTTAATCATAGAAACTAAAAATTTAATTGTACAGGATGTTCTATTTAAAAAAATACAACTTTGATATTTTTTATTTATTTGGGACATTCTGCATCTTGTAAAAATCTTCTTAAATTCTAGCTATAATAGTCCCTCTACGAACCCAAGACTTACAATTTGTAAAAATCTAATCGTTTAGCTACAATACTCCGTGTCGTATGTGGTGAACAACACTGTATATGAAAAATTTAACTTAATTTTCATACATGCTTAGATTTCTAAATATAAATATATATTTTATTTCACTCTTATTTTAAATTTATTTATCAATTTATTATTTTTTTAGCGTTAGTATCAATCAGCATTTCCCTTTTACGAATAGATACAATACCTACATACAAAACAATACCTACCCCGCTTCTAATATTAATAAGCTCTATTAACCGCACACTATCTTAAAGCCCAGCTTGGTGAAATATTTAAACGACCGCTTGCTCATTGTATCCGTTCTTGTTTCAGGGTGGACTTAAGGCGGCCATTCTCGCCGACGTCATGCAGGGCTTGACCATGATAGCGGTCAGTTTCGCCATTATAGTGCAGGGATGCGTGGAAGCAGGCGGACCGGTAAACGTATTTTATCTCAGCAAGAGGGACGGAAGACTAAATTTTTTCAAGTAAGTTGGTGTTAGATAAATTTCTTTTAGTATTTATTACAGAAAATTCATACACTGTCGGAAATAAAGGCTTTCTATATGAGATTATTAAGACTTGGCCCTCAAATTGGATTTAACTTGGCTCTCAAACTTGATATCTTCCAAATTTCATGATTAAGGAAGCCCAGTTTTTTTCTTTTAATTATAAAAAAATTATAAAACCAATCGGTTGGACCGATTTTAATGGATTATTCAACTTCTTTTTTTTTTTAGGTGAAAGTTTGGAACACCCTGTGGAATATGTTAAAATGCGATGAATTTGAAAATCGGATTATCTAGTTTATTTTTTGGTTCATCTCAATAGCTTTATTTTTTTGGAGATATTCGCTCGCAGGAAGACACTAACATTTGTTCGTAATTTTTTCATTAAAACTATGCCTTTGTTTTATTCCCATTCAACAGACCTATGAAATAACGTATAAAAGAGATAGAGCCTAGAACGTATAAAATCATAGAATTAAAAGGAATAGAAAATAAAATGCAACCGACAAAGAGAGATAAATGGACGATACAATAAAGAAAACACACATCAAACAACTGAAAACTATTGACGCCTTACACTATAAACAATAAAGTACACAATGAATGTCGATTCGGAAATGCAGTTTCCGTCGGACTATGGGCAGTTTTTATCCCTTTATCTATGAGCGGTATCATTCCTATGACTTAGTAGATGACGTTTTCGATAATGGCGGATCGAGTTACGAGACAACCTTATCTTCTAATAACCTTGCGTCGGGCATCTGTAGCTCCTAGAATAACAAACTTAAGAATTTTGTTTAAGTGCAAATCTAAAGTATGTTCTAGGATGTATTCCAGGAAAATATTTTAACTTCTATAGGGTGGCTCAAAAAAGTGTGATTGGATCGAGATGATTTTTTTTAAATGGAACACCCTGTGTATTATTGAATTTTTGGCTTCTTTTCAGATCACTTTACATAATCCTAAGATATGAGTAAATATATTTCGATAGTTTCAGAGATATTAATAAATAAATAAAAAATATATTATATTTTTCAGCCTTTGTTATAAAAAAAATATTAAAAATTAATTAAACTGTCGTGAAATCTAAACAATATTGCATATTTACTTTAGATTGTCTGTACTTACTTTGCTATAAATATGGTAATCGTATATCATACAGGATGTTCAAAATTTTACGCCAAACTTTCTAAAATATAAAATAATTATTCTTCGTTTTTTTTTAATGGAAAGATGAAGAATTAAAAGATGAAGATTTTTTGTATTTAGAGTATTTCAAAATTTGTACGATTTCACAGATATTCGCGGTTTTATATTTCATATGGCATTTTCCATAGTAATTTTTTATCAAAGCCACACCCAATGATTTTTCTCTCGTATTTTACCATTGAGAGAGCGATATGAAATAATATTGCGTGTATCTACGAAACCATTAAAAATTTTGAAATACTTTGAATGCAAAAAATGTTCATTTTTTAATTCTCCATCTAATAATAAAACAAAGAAAAATTATTTTATATTTCATAAAGTTTGGCGTAGAATTTACATTTGTACGTGGATTTTCTGATAAAGAAAATGGCGTAGAATTTTGAACATCCTGTATGATTTAAGATTACGATATTTCTAGCAAAGCTAAGCAGTTAGGGGAAGGAGAGCAAAATGAAACACTAGGAATATTCTGGGATGCCGCACAAGATTCCATTCATTACTCGATTAAAGTCGACTCGTCTTTTAGAAAAATCACAAAACGTGTAATTTTGTCCGTCACATGTCATATATTTGACCCACTAGGTTTACTGGGTCCTTTTGTAGTAGTTGGGAAGTTAATTCTACAAAGTCTTTGGCAGGAAAAATTGTCGTGGGATACACCGGTTCCACAATATCTTGCTGAAAGGTGGTTAAAATTCTATAACGATTTGCTAGTTCTAAACACAGTTAGTACACCTCGACATATACTTGGTAATAATTGGGAGGTCTTGCAGATTCATGCTTTCGCAGACGCGTCAGAAAAGGCTTACGGTGGTTGTGTCTACATGGTGTGTTTAACAACATCTGGGAAATATATTTTGTCTTATCTTATGGCATCCAAATCTCGGGTAGCTCCTCTGAAGAGGATAACTGTACCGCGTTTAGAACTTTGCGCGGCCTATGTAACTGCTAAATTAGTAGAGAAGATTAAACAATCGATAAATATTTCTATCGATAAATATTTCTATTGGACAGACTCAGCCATAACTTTATGTTGGATTCAGGGTTGTCCTAGTCGTTGGAAAACATTCGTGGCTAACAGAGTCACACAAATTCGACCATCTAAAGTAAATACCTAATATAGTTTGGTTTCAGGACAGTTCTTGTATTTGTAATATTTTTTTTAATAAAGATTGAAAAATTTAATTTTTTTAATTATTTTATAGGATTAGAATTTCTTAGGATTTTGTAAAGTGATCTGAAAGGAAGCCAAAAATGCAATAATATACAGGGTGTTCCATTTAAAAAAAATAATCCCGATCCACTCACACTTTTTTGAGCCATCCTATAGAACTTAAAATATTTTTTCTGAAATACATCCTTGTACATACTTTAGGTTTACACTTAAACAAAATTCCCAAGTTTTTTATTCTAGAAGCTACAGATGCCCGACGGACTATTACCACACCCTGTATGGAATATCATTATTATTGAATAATCATATTATTATTGTCTGTTGGCTGTGTTGCTTTAGCAGAGATGGTTTTAAGGTCAGAAGATGATCCGCTATAGTTGCTTTAATTGAAGATTTTTCTTTTGAGGAGGAGGGAAAAAATCCTGCATAAGACACCGTTGGGTAGTGTCGGATTCCTACCGACTTAAAAAACCCTCCTCGCGGTCTAACGCTCTATCCAGCTGGAAACCGCTTGCGCATTACTTCAACTGGAAGGCTGTCTATGCGGTTAGACCCCGCATTCTATTTCCTTTGGTTTCTATTATTTCTCGAATGCATCTATATGTAATATTCCATGATGTTTCACCGCTTAGCAATCCTTGCATTATATTTTTAGCATTAAAGACTTGTCCACCACTGTCCCGTTGGAATGACTCTCTAAACTGCTTCCATTCATTGCAATGGAATAGTGTGTGTTCGACACCGTCAACTTCCTTGCAATACATACACAAATTTGAGGAGAATCTCTCCCTTTTATACAAATAGTTGTTAAAGCATCCGTGCCCTGTCAATGCCTGAGTTAGGAAATAGTCCGTCTCTCCAAAGCTTCTATCTAACCAGGTATTAATGTCTGGTATGAGATCATGTCCATCAACCATATCTATCTAGATCCCACTCCTTTTGCCATTCAATTATCAGTATGCTTCTTGCCTCCAGTTTTGATATCCCTTTGTATCTCTCTCTTCTCTCCTACAAATAGGTGAATAGGCGGCAATCCGGATATGACATTTAATGGTTCAGTGGAGACGGTTCTATATGAACTGCATATCTTGAGGTTTAGTTTACGGTATATAGCTTTAAGTTTTTGCCTTATATATCCCTTTGATATTGCAAGGTGCCACACTGGTGCGGCATATAACAGTTGAGAGTGTGCTACACAGGCTAGGATTCTACGTTTGAAAGCAAGTGGCCCTCCTATATTAGGCATCAGCCTACCCAGTACGGTCAAAATTCTTTCCGCCTTTCGTCTAACTTGATTTATATGCTCGCCGAATGTGAGCTTTGAATCAAGCCAAACTCCAAAGTATCTTATTGCATTCTTTGGTGAAATTGTTGTACCGACAAGCTCAAATGAAATATGAGAAAGTTTCCTCTTGGTAGTTAATGAAACCGCTTCAGTTTTGCTTGGTGCTAGTTTTAAACATTTGCGCTCGATCCAATTGGCCACTCTTTGTAGTGGTTCGTTAGCAACACTCATGAGTGTCTTTTCGTCTTTGGCCGTTACCACCATCGCTACGTCATCGGCAAAGCCGATTAGTGTTACTCCTTCGGGCATAACTGTTTCCAGTAGGTCGTTGTACTGGATATTGCATAGTGTTGGGTCAAATACTGACCCCTGTGGTACTCCACTGGTTATGTTAATCTACCTTTTAGCAGTATCGTCTTCAATTAAAATTGTCCTTTCAGAGAGATAAGATGCCACCATGTTAGTCAGAGACGAATTTATACCCCATTTCTGTATTTCGTCCAGAATGATCTGACACGAAGCACTGTTGAACGCATTTTTATTGAAGTTGATAGAGATCAAAATTATGTCGCTAACAGGTTTAGGTGTGCACGAAGTACAATACAGTAACTACCTCGAGACTTTCATATGCTAGACCTCCAGGAACCTTCGTATGAAAACTTTAAAACGAGACGATCGACTTATGACTTATTGTAAGGTTACAGTTAATAAGCCGTCGCCGCGCCGTCGCATCGCACGTCTTTTGCCAGCTTTTCAAATGTATAATAAATTGCACCTACATGGAACGTACATGTAAGTGAACTGTAAAATATATGTGTCAAGAAAGCCTGCTTTGGAACCATAACTTACTAGTAAAACTGTTAGTGTGTTCTTCAAAAGCGAATATCTCCAATAAAGATAAAGCTATTGCGATGAACCAACTAAAAAAAACTATCGAGAAAAGATGCAACAAAATGATAAAATGATTCTTAGTCTTAACATATTCCACAGAGTGTTTCAAACTTTCACCAAAATATCAACATTTTGTTTTCCCTCGTATATTTTATTTTTAATTTAGAAAGAGATACTTAAAAGCAAGGGCGGCATATACGGGAGGGGTCATGGGGTTACCCCCTAATGGTGGTACCCCTCCCAAGAAATTTATAAATAAGAAAATCTGGTATAAAATAATATTGTTACAAAATAAATTAATAATTTCAATCAAAAAAGAAATCCAAAACAATCTAAGTTTATTTTTTTCCATAGTCACAATATCTTTGGCAGGAAATTTAATTTAAATCTATTACTTTATTTAAATATTGCCACTACCTC